CTAGAGTTTTCAACCAATTGGAAATTCAGCGTAATTTGGTACTGAATCTTCATCTGAGTAGATCTACACCAAATCGTCTCAATTTTTTCCTGAAAAGATGACGATTAGACAACAATTATCAAAAAAAATTGAAAAATATTAATAATTGAAAGGATTATGATTTTTTGAAAATTTCCAGTTTTCTTCAATGATTTTTTTTTCAAATTGGCCCCGATATCTCAGCGGGTATGACGGCTCATTTTGAAGGGTTTTCATAGCTTGAAACTCCGCTGAGATATTGGGACCAATTTGAAAAAAAATCATGGACAAAAACTTGAAATATTCAAAAAATGGTTTCAATATGGGATGTCATGTTGGAAAATCGTCCTTATGTGCAGCGCCATCTATCGGAATTCTAGAAAATTCTAGACATTTCGTGGTAATTCGAGAAGTTTCTTCAAATTTCGAAAAAGTTCAAGGAGTTTCTAGAATTTTCGAGGAAATTCAGGGACTTTCTAAAAAATTTGAGGGAATGCATGAAATTTCTAGAGAAATTCAAGAAGGATAGACCATGGACGTATCCACGTACAATTAGAGCTGTATTGAAGATACAGCCCCCTGCAATTTTTTTTTTCAAAATTTCTGTCTAATTGCCATTTTTCCAGAACAAAATTCAGACGAAAATCCCCAGCATCAACTTTTGTAGCCTGCTGATTTGGCGTGGGCCTGCCCATAATTTGATTAAAAATTCAAGAAAGTTGGAAAATTTTCCTCTTTCTCCTGCATTCCAAATTTCCTCATTTTTCCCTTCTAAATCAAACTCCATGTGGCTTTCCTAAAAATTACCACAAAACAATACATGAAGTATACTCCAAAACAGTTCCATTCCCTTTCATATCCCACTATTTTTCATGACATATATTGTTTCGCTTTCTACGTCTCAACTTAAAAAAACACCCCAGCAATCACATGTAATTTCTCCCGCATTTTACTGTTTCCAATTTCCTCATTTTGTTATTTTCAAAGTAAACGTTTTTGTGAATGTCGTTGGCCCCAAGACAAACGATTACGATCACCAGTAAGAATACCCGATTATAAGGAAGCGGAAGGGTACATTAATTGAGGAAGTGCAATGATGCGCGTGCGCCACGCATTTAATTCCTACAACCTGTATTTTCTATCCTCCTGCCAAATAGCCCGAGAAATCCCTGCGGCGCATGTGCCTTCACTCCATGGACACGTTAAACGATATATTTTCGGGTGAGCTTGGGTGGCTTGACACATCCTCCCAAATTTTGTAATTGCAATCTCCGGAATTTCTGACTCAACTTACTCATCACTTCCCAGGAATGAGATGAATAATAAAAATATAAGGTGAACAAGCAGGATAAATTCACGATTTAGCAGGGAAATTACTCTCCGAGTTGATTATTTTTACTCCGCGGTAAAGGGGAAGAGGAGGGAAGGGATGGAATGAGGGTAATGAAAGCGAAACGAGAAGATAATGGAGAAGGAATGAGCTTAGTCTATTGATAGCCCATAAGGTGATGGATCCTCTTTGGGTCATTTAGGTGAGTCTTGACAACTGGGTTAAGACTTGAAATTCAAGAAGTTGTGCAAAATCCCCAAAGAAATTCCCCGACTCACTATTCCCCATTTAATCACCATCATTTTCGAATTATGCATTACGTTCTTATTCCCCGCGTTTGTTCAATTCAAGGGTAGAGGTGCAAGGCCGCTCCGGAATCGATCGATCCACCGCTGAATAAAAAGCCAAAGAAATAAGCGAAATGGTAAAAGAACCCGAGAGCAAAAAACGAGAGACCAAGCGAAATAAGCTCAAGTAACACTTGAGTTATTCACCCAAATTTTCGTTGAATTTTCATTCAAGATTAACGACGAAATTAAGAGTAGATTAATTTCACTTGGTACTTGAACCAAAATTAAATATAGAATTTCATCGGTTATACCCAACGCGCATGCATTGTATCATCCTACGGCCAATTAGATTATTTATAAATACCTAAATATATCTGTAATGCATTACGCATTCCTGTAATTTATATTGCAACGCAATTTAGTGTACGAATCTGTTTTTTTTCAATCGAGTGAATTACTCGGCGAACACGTGCTCGATATTTTCGGATGGAATTTGGCGCGGAGAGAAAAAAAACACAGAAATTAATTGAAACGGGGCAGAATGGGTGGGTTAAAATCGTCCAAATCTCTCGAACCGTCGAAAGAATTCGATTTTAAACGACAGTGTTAGAAAATTACTCTTGAAATTTCAAGTGAAAAAGATTGAAGTTTCTAACAACGACTAAGTTACGTGAAATTTCTGGATGTTTCTTCATTGACAAATCAGTTAATTTTGTGAATATTCTAGCAATTCTCAGAGAATTAATAGTCTTGACAATTTGTCAGTATAAACATTCAAATTCCTCCAAGACATATCACGTTTTTCAGCAATTTTAACAATCAAAAATAAAAACAACTGTAAATTTTCACTAATTCAAGTAATTCTGGATTTTCAGGTCCATACGGCACTGAATTTTCAATTGATTTAAAATCGAATTGTCTGTAATATTCAATTTTGACGATGAGTTTGGAAATTCGAGCTTTTATGGAAAAACCAATGATTATTTAACATGAAAAACCTAATTTTCTTGAATTTTCAGGATGAATGAGGAATTTAGTGCGCTGTTTGAAAAAAAAAAGAAATTTCATGGACAGTTGGTAATATTCCAACCGCCAGTATGGACATTCAAATTCCTCCTATTCCTCCAGGCCATTACGCAGTTTTCAGCAATTGTAACAATCAAAAATAAAAGCAAATATAAATTTCCACTAATTCAAGTAATTCTGGATTTTCAGGTCCATACGGCAATGAATTCTCAATTTATTGAAAGTTGAATTGTATGTGATGTTCAATTTTCACGATGAGTTTGGAAATTCGAGCTTTTATGGAAAAATCAATGATTATTTAACATGAAAAACCCAATTTTCTTGAATTTTCAGGATGAATGAGAAATTTAGTGCACTGTTTGAAAAAAAAATGAAATTTCATGGACAGTTGACTAGTAATTTTCAAGACAGTGACACTAAATCCGATTTAGAGGAAAAAATATTCATGAAATTTCCGGTTTCACTGAAAATTTAGTAAAATTCCAGAATTTTAAGCAGCACAAAAACGAGAATTCCTTCATTTATTTGAATTTCCGATGTAATGTGAATATTCAGTGTCAAATTATATAGAACTTTCAGTGAAATCTAAAATTTCATGATTTTTTCCCCCTGGAATCGCATTCAATATCGCTGTCCTAAAAATTCCAAAATAGGGGATTGTGGGGTAAAATGGACACTTTTTAATTTTTTTGAAATGTTCATGACCTGTTGAATTGTTCACGAAACGGAATAATGTTATTTCTCAATTGAAAGGGCAATTATTCCCTTTTGTGATTAGCTTAGACTGAGCTCAACTGATAATTTTGTTCCTGAGTTATGAATATTTAAAAAAAAATCAAACGTGTCCATTTTACCCCAGTCTCCCCTATATTTACCCCAGTCTCCCCTATATTTACCGAAAGTTTCTGATTTTCTACGCGGAGAGAATTTTTCAGTAAAAATTACGGAACTCACAGTTCGCTCACCGATTAGGGAATCGACTCAGAAAATTTAAGTCAAAGTATCGAAATTTTTCACAAGAGATTCAGATAAAAATGACGGAACGCTCCGAAAAAATTCTGTGACAGTTCCGCAAAATTTCCTACAACCACATTTCGCTCGTGAATTACAGAAAAGATACGCAATTTTTACTAAATATCTCTCTCCGTGTATTTATTTTCAGGGAAAATTGCAGCTGAAATTTCCAGTTCTCTCTAATTTCTCCTCGAAATTCTGAATTTCAGTGCCGAAATTCCTTGAAATTTCCGCAGTAATTAAATTCGATAAAAATTTCCAAAAATTGTCCCGCAAATTTCAGACAAAAGTGTTCAACAGTGTTCACACTTTCCTTCTAAATTGAATTCCACCTCACATCGAAAATTCCGATGCCGCTGACTGAAATTTCGACAAATCTTAAACAGCCCCGAAAAAAGAGGAACTTCATAATATTGCGTTGCAGACAATCAAGCCCCCATTCTGCCCCGTGCTCAGAGAGTGCCATCGCAAGAGCGAAGCAACCGGCTTCGCGAAATAATCAATATACCTCCATGACAAGAGCAACGGTGGGGCAGCGGCTGCCACGCAGGGATAACAGGTTGTCGATAATTTTCTCTCCCCTTTACACTGAAAAACAAAAAAATCGATCCTCCCATTGAATCTGCCCCCGCAATTCCAAAACCACCGTGAAGACACTCCCGGGGGGGGGAGTGTCTGGCAGGTCCAACAAACGATGAGTGGCCCCGTTGTATTAAATCAGAGACGATTGCGAATAGAAGACGCCGTGGTCTCGTAAACGTTTGCGAGTACCGTTGAGTCGAGTTGGTTTTACGGTACAGACAGTCTGGCGACTATTTACCCACAAATCAAGTAAATCAGAGCACTGTACTTGAAGTGAAACGTTGAACGTTACTAACGAGTCCACGAGTTAGAGCTTTCCCCCGGGCGATTGAGTTGTCTATTATTCTTCGTAAATATCGTCCGCGACTTGTTATCAGTGCTCTTAGGATGCACCCCAGGCCCCCATGGGCATTAACTAACCAAAGGGGGCGCCAAAGAAATGGCGACGCGCGATAAAACCCGCCGAATGTTGGTTATCCCCCGGAATTCCCACCAAAACACTGGCTCCGCTGCCCGCGACTTCCAGTGAATAATTAAGTCCACCAATACCCGCACTTAATTAACGAGAGAAAAGGAAAGCCGAATGATTGATGAGGAAAAATGTCGGAAGTTGGAATTAATGAGTGAGAGGAGGGCGAATGACAAGAGGGCATTAATAACGCCCGGGGTTGATTTCAGCGGGGGAATTTACTGTCACGAGTGGCTCGTTAAATCACCTTGAATAAATAAATATTACTCACTCTGTGGCCAGCCTCCTCGAGCCGCTGCCTCTTGGAGTGAGGTCCGTCGCCGTTGAATGCCATCCTCCAACAATTCTTCACTCTTTACCGAAACAGCGAGAACGTGATAACCGACAGTGCAGTGACAATAACCACACGATAGCCCGGGGTTAGCTTGCAGCACTTGAATTTTTACGGTTAATCACAGCAACAGTGAAGCACGTTAGTTTATGACTCGTTCCCGGTGAGATAAAAACTACGGGTTATGGTGTATTTGACCGCCCTCTCCACCGGGGTTTTTCAAGCTTGATTTCAGTGTCCCGAGTGGACACGGAGCTGCCGAAGCTGCTCCGTTTTATTATTATTTTTTCTATTGTTTTTCTTAGTTTGCTCGTTGCGTCGGGTTCACCGAGCCACTTCCACACTAGGACTGTTCAGTCTGACGCTGACAGGTCGCCCACTGCACGTCCTTCCGGGGGTTAAAAGAAAAAACTTTTTGATATTTATTCGGCGGGGCGGGAGGGGGGGAGATAAAAACGAAGTTTAACCGACTGTGTGCGACTCCTGACTCCTCGCTGTCCCCTCTCACACAGACGAATGGCCACTACGGCCGCTTGAATCGGCGAAAACGTCGAAGCGAGATGCCTCGCGGGAGCTACGCGGAGGGGGGAGTAGGGAGGGGAATCGGTGTTGTTTTAGGTGTGTGTGCGGTGGGCATATGCGTTGTGAATCGGGGGTGGCTGCGGTGGGCGAGAGCAACGAATGAACGCCGAGACGGGTGCACGAACGAACGGAACCGCACGAGCGGCGCGACGAACGCACGGACGAGGGTGAATGCTTGGCGACAGGGTTGCCAGATAGTTCAGAGGCTCGCCGAGCCTGTGATTCCCCGACGTATCGCTAGGGAAGGGCGATTTTTTTGAAAGCTAGCGCGGTGTTGGTGTCCATTCCTTGAGTTTTTTTTTTTCTCTTTACAAATTTTCTGCACAGTTAATTGTTCATAATTATTATCTGAGGGTGTGGGTATTCCGGGGCGAATGAGTCGACGGCTGAGCCTCAGTCTCTTGGAAATTGATATCGATTTTTTTGAATTTTTACAGTCCCAGGGACATAAAATGATATTTTACGCCTCAAGTACCGAGAACCGCGTTCTAACCGAACAAAGTGAAATTAAAATTCGCAGTTTATCTGTCCTCGGGCCACAATATACTATTTTTTATGTGTCCAATACTGCGTCTTTGTCACGCCGAATAAAATAAAACATTCTAGTAATCGAAGATTGCAGCTTTTCGTCCCGTCGAGGTAATTTACGTAAATTACATCGGTAAAAACGGTGCAATTTACCAACGCAATTTACACGCCCAACCCTGAACCCGAGTTATTGGGGAAAAAGATTGTTGTAGACTATTTTCTCGTTTCTTATTTCAGGCTAGAAATACGCTTTAAAACTCACGCTCATTTTTGCAAAAAATGGCTTATAAAAATGCTAACTCACAGGTACCCATTTTTTCAATGCCATCTGTCGGCGTTCTCCCTGAAGCTCGTTCTCATTCGAGATATTTCGAGTTCGACTTTTTCCAATTCGACTTTTTGCCCTCATGTCTCTCTTCTGAAAAGGAGACATCGATTGAAATGAGACATCGACTGAATTTCAATGTTTAAAATAATATAATATTAATAATCTGATTGTTTACGAATAATGATATTGGGAAGTCAAGAACTCGAATACTCTATCAATCGGACGGGATAGGAACTCGTGTAAGAAGTTTGCGAGCCCTATCTCACCCAAGGAGCTACTGTCGAGTGGCGGAAATGTGAACCCGTGCATGTAGGGTCCGCGACCTACGCCGCGCCCGCATCTGAATTTCCAATATTTAAAATTTCTCAATATGAAACTGTAAATTCACTACTAAGTGAGTAATTCAAATTTCTTGAAAGGGGATTTTCGATTACACAAGTAATCGTCAATCTTCCTACCTCAAATTATTGATTGCTAAAATAGTTGAAAATTTGAATATTTGAATTGATGATACTTAAGTACTCAAAAAAATTTTCACCACGGCGGGCGGAAAGGACACATTTTCCTGAAAAATAACGTTCTCACCACGGGAGATAAAATACTATTAAGAGTGATGTTATCTATTTAAGGCCCGGTTGCACCATCGTCTGTTAACTAAACCGCCAGATAACGGTCTGGTAGTCCATAAGGATTACACATGGATAAATTTACCCTGGGGTAAAAATAGCTAACAGGGCTCGGTGCAACCGGGCCTAAGGGCTACAAAAGTAACCGTAATAAAATATTACAAATTTGGCGATCTCTGGTGGTACAACCTTAAGGGACATTTTAACGGATATTTTCTGCTCCTCATTGTCGGCAACGATGGCTAAATAAAGTTGGGACAGCAGTAATGAGTAGAGAGATGTAATAAACAAGAAAATCAGTAACTTGTGAAAGTAGATGTTGTGAGTGTAACTATTTTCTCGTTTCTTATTTCAGGCTAGAAATACCGCAAAATTCTAAGAGAATTAGAATTTTGAGAGAAAAAATTTCCGCTTCACGCAGCCGGGAATCGAACCCGGGTCTCCCAGATACGCGCCGGGCACTCTTACCGACTAAGCTACCGGGAACCACAGAAATTCACCTCATACACCGCCTAACCTCCTTTAGGCATTAAAGAATTCTAAGAGAATTAGAATTTAGAGAGAAAAAATTTCCGCTTCATCCAGCCGGGATACCATACCGCATCACATCGAGGATTTTAAAATATTATAATATATTTTTCTCTCGAGCCCTAAGTATTACGAACACACCAAATTATCGCCAAACCGCTAACGTTCATATTTAGACGCCAAAGGAACTTTGAATATCGCCTATTTGGCGGCAAGTCGCCCAATCTGGCAACGCTGCTTGTAGATAACAGCATTGGTTTGAAGAGGAACGACGGAACGGAGTGACTGCAGAGCGATTGCCTGACGTCAGCGGTTTGAGGGGGAAGCGGGGAACTTCGTGGGGCGAGGGAACATCGGGGAACACCAGATTTTGGACTGATTGACGGCATGCGCGCGCGCTGAGTGTCGACCTCTTGTGGACGCAAACTCAATTGTTGGGGGGAGGGTGCGCAGGCGCGCTTGTTGCTTCGCGATGGTATTTAAAAAAGGTAACCGGTGGTTCCGTAAAGGGCTTATTTATTTCGACCGGAGATGCAAAATGACCGTCATTTTTTAGGCCGCGTCATATGACCAAAAATGACGGTCATTTTTCGACCATCATTTATTGTTTAAAATAAAGTATTTGTGACCATCATTTTTAGTTGAAAAATTGGTGGGTCATATGACCATCACGAGGCCGCGTCATATGATCGGCAAAAAAAAAAATGCATTTTATGAAATTTATGACATTACAAATGAATTTATTACGAACATAAATGAAAAATTTTTTTTATCGGTGTGGAATCCGAATTTTGCGTATTTAGTACATTGCGAAATTTTTACCATCTATAAGTGACTGAGTCCCTTTAAAAAAAAATTGAAGAGTTTGGTGGATAATTATTAATGAATCCCTGGATAAATGCTCGAGCAAAACGTAAAGTCAATGTAATCTGAGTCTTATGTACGAAAAACTACCTATACTGTTTACTGTATACAAATTAAACCTTTCAGGTTTAAAAATGCGTAATAAAAAAAAGAATTTGATGGACCAATTTCTTGTACTCATCAAATTTAGAATTTATAGGAAAAATTATCTGTGATGAAAATTTTCTTTGGGCTTTTTGAATTTATTTTTCCTCATTACACTCAATGACTCCACTAGAGTTTATCCACACTACTTTAAATTGAATTCAAATCCACCACATTGGAAATTTAAATGCAGTTGTTTCTTAAATTTCACATCCGGTAAATGTACCTATGCTCGCCTTTGTCCCTGTGCTCGTCTAGATCCTGCCAGCTATGACATTTTAATCACTTTGATAGTCCCAAGAATTTATTAAGAGTGAAGTACGATTGGAGTTATTATTTTAGTTAATAATAAAACTTATAGACACCAATGAAGAGTGATTTATTGAATAATATGAGAGAAATATCCCTGTCATATAAATTCTTGCTGCGACGGAGTCGATTCTTAAGCCACAAGTTAAGAAACAATTTTAAAACGTTGATATCTCCATTGCAATACTAAAATGAGATTAAAAATCCCTTGACTAAGGTTCCCAATAGTTAAAAATTTAATAAAAATGCATAGATTATAGTAATATCCGGATATTTCACTGAAATATCGCCAATTAAAAGAATAGGTACTATGAAAATGGCATTCTTTTTATTTAGAGCATTCAAACCATTTGGTTTATTCTGCTAAAAAAATGCAGAAAAAAAATTTTACCAAAATACATATAATATATACATTTAATTTTTACATAGTCCTGTTTTTCCTAGTTCTTAATTATAACGATTTACATAGTGCACTCAAATATTTAATCCAGAGGAGGACTATGAAAATGGCATTGATTCTACGCTGGTTTGCAACCAACCGTCAACTGGTAACGGACTAAACGGATAAAAAAAATCATTTAAAAAGTTGGACTGTTTAACGGAAATATAAGTCTGTGCCTCGAGATATTTTTTAATGCTGTTTTATCACAAAATAGGATACTCACGATGTAATTAGTTCGGGTGTAACCTTTCCATATCACTCAAATCACGAGACGAGGATAGGGACATGTGTCAAACGTGCATGGGGACAAATGAGTGAGCGTAGGGACATGGAACTTTTCACATTTATGAAAGATTCATTAAAAAATACTAATTACCATAGTCAGTGTGACAGAAGGGTAGAGGAGGGTAGGGTAAAACGGACACTTTTGACTTTTTTTGAAATATTCATGACGTGTTGAATTGTTCGTGAAATGGAATAATTTTATTTTTCAATTGAAACACAATGATTCCTTTTTGTGATGAGCTTAGACTAAGCTTAATTGATAAATCTGTTTCTGAGTTATGAATATTTTTTAAAAAGTCAAAAGGGTCCATTTTACCCTACCCTCCCCTACATTAAGCACTGAGAAAAATTTTAATGATAATTTTAACTACAAGGGAATTATCAAAGAAATTATATTTACAGTAACAATAAACTTTGTAGATTATACTAGGATTAATCGTTCGATTTACTATGTCAAATGATGTCATCAACATCATGATGTAATTTTCACTGTAATGTAATATTTGAATCTACAATGTTTATCGTTACCGTAATTATAATTTTTTTGACGATTTCCTTGTAGTTGAAATTAACATTGAAATTTCTCTCAGTGCGGCTCTGCACAATCGGCCGACTGTACGGCTGGGGTTTTCCATGGTTTCTCGTGCAGTTTTAGCCCGAATGGGGTAGAGTTAAGAGTAAGACGGACCATGGTAACGCAGATAAAAGTCAGAAGAGAGAAATGAGAGAGGCAAGGCAGACGAATGGGGAGCCTATAAAACCGTAATGGTAGTAGGAAAGAAATATGAATAATAGTATATTGTGCATCAAGGGCGGAACGTCATGTTTTCCCGCCCGAGGTGCACATGCTATTTTTTAATACGCCTGCAAAGGAAAGTTCACATTTT